TATATATATATATAAGAAAAGGAATTCTTTTAATTGAAGATTAGGTTACACTTCTGAGATGGGGATTTTAAGAAGGTCCCCATGGAGTAGAAGAAGGAGAGGAGGGGTGGAGAGGAAGAAACAAAATTTACAGAGCTCAGTCCTAGTCTATTAAGCCAATTAGCTAGTCTATTCCCCTCCCTATAAATGAATGAGAAGGCTAATTGAGGGGGGGCCTAAGAGAGTTGATCTTTCAAACCCATTGAGAAATATGCCAAGGAGAGTGTACATCTTTATTCATAAGCTACAACAAAACAAAGGAATCCACTTCCACATGCAAATGCCCCCACTTGTTCAAAAGAGCAAACTTGATGGCCCAGAAGACAACCATAAGCTCAAATTCCCGAGCATCCAAGGTTAAATTAGGTGCGTGGAAGAACAGTAAACACTGTTTAAGGTTATTTCGGAAGAACCCACTAAAACCAGCTTCCCTATCAGAAATGCTTCCATCAGTATTAACCTTAATGTATGAGAAAGAGGGAGCCTTTCAGTAGACCTTGGTGACAATGGATGAGGGGGTGATGTCGAGAATGGAGAGGGAGAGCAAATGTAAGAGATCCTCTTGTGCTTGATAAGCTTAGTGAGAAAGGTAGTGCAATTTGTTGCCACTTTAACCACAGATAAAGGCTAATCCTCACACTTAGTCTGGTTTTTGGCCATCCACAAGAACCAGTCAACGATAAAAGGAATAAAGCTAATGTTGGTAGCATGCCAGTTGACCCAGCAGAAAGAAAAGTGGAACCAATCCAAAGAGATTGTGTCAAGTAACAAATGTTTAGTGAATTCCAGCCAACCCCCTTGAAAAAACTTACAGGTAAAGAAGAGATGGTCAATGGATTCCTCAGCATCCAAGAACAAGTTGCACATGGAGGGGCCTCTCAACCCTTTCAAATTGAGTATGTCATTAGTAGGTAACAGCTTGTGGAATATTCTCCAACAAAGAAAAAACAGAGGGGGAGAGGAATCTGTTCTAAATGATCTCCCCCTGTAGAATAGGCTCCAAGCTATGAAGTTTGGAATAGATGGATTTGGTTAGGCTCTGTGTTATGCTTGCTTGTCAAACAATGTTATCTGGTTTGGATCTATCAAAATGAATCCTAGATATGTGAGCCTTAGATGGGGTATGAAGGAGATTTTGCAGGATTGGCACAGACCATTGATCCTCTATCCAACAGTCAACCACTTTAAAATGTGAGTTTAGCTCTGAAGTCGTAGGTTGCAGCATTTCAGCAAGACACCAATTGTCAAGCCAGAAATGTACATTACCCTTACCAAGTTCCCAAATAAAGAGTGTCTCAACCATTTTCTTGACTTTCAGCAAGTTGACCCAAAACTTAGAGTCTCCCAGTTTCCAAAAAGCTTAAGTAGGATGCAAATCTCTATAGTATTTTCCATGCATAAATTTAGCCTACAAGGATTGTTGTTGCCAGAATTTGATCCATAGTTTGCACATGTTGAACATAAATATGTATATATATACGTCGCGTACTCAAATCAGTTGGTCGGACATCTTCTTGTCAGTTGTAAGCCCCTCTGGTCTGGGGTTCGAATGCCACCCGTGAAGGGTGTGGTACTCAAATTGTTAGACGCATCGGGGATGGCTGAGGCTTGTATAATAGCCTCAGATCAGTCATTTTATATATATACGTTCACTGTAAGTCCCTCATAGGGCCTAGCGCATGGGAAATTGGTATTTGGGTCTCTGCCAAATACCGATTATTTTTTAATACTGGGTTCTCAAATATTTAAGCACATAGCGTGGGCACTCATCATGAGGCCTAACACATGAGAAATAGGTATTTGGGCCTTTACCAAATACTGATTTTCTTATATATATATATATATATATATATATATATATAAATGAAATGGATAACTATAAATATCACTATCAATATATCATATATAGGGCTTACCGGTAATGTACAGGAGATATCCCCTGGAAAAAGACTGTTGTAACGTTAGTGTTGACACTGGATTCCACCCATTTGGCCCAAGTAGTTAGCCCCTTAGAAAATGCTTCCAGGCGGTCTAAATCCCTCAAAATTTTGTCTCCATACTGGATATAGTCCCAGCTGCGCAACAAATATAATTCAATTACTAGATTTACATACATAACACTAATTAAATTTCTATTTATTAACATATCGAACACCTAAACATCAGTTCTTACATTCATGCCGTTTTATTTGTGCATGAATATCTAATTTTAATTTTTAAAAGTTAAAATAATAATATTTTTTGTGCGATGTGAAAAATTTGTGTGATATAATTGTAAGAAGTAATGATGTTAGATATGTAAATACAAAGGAATCGGGTGGTCTGTATGTTAAAGCCCCTAAAGAAGAAGCAGTGTGGCAAATCAGACAATTGTGGTGATTGAGCCTTACCCTTGGCTTTCTGCTCCTTTGTGAACCCACCAATGCCATGTGTTGAAGATGAGTAGGTCTGAATTGATCCATTTTCCGCCGCCTGATATTGAGTCGAGATTGAGGACTCGCCCGACGGGCTCGGTTGAGATGTCTACCAGATATGGTGATCGATAGAATGATATGGAGACAGCAAAGTCCTATTGATATGTTGAGAATAACATGTTAATTAAAAGTATTACACAGAATTTTGTTGCTTTCTAGATTGAATTCATATATATGTGTGTGTGTGTATATATATATGTTTCCTTCATTCTGACCTGCGTGAAATATGAGTTTTCTATAATGTTAAGGCACATGAAAATAATAAACATAATCTCGTTATCAATAGTTAAGAAACTGTGTTAATATAAAAAAAAAAAAAAAAAAAAA